CCTTTTATTGTAAGATGTCAGCACAAATTTTTGTATTCTTAATAATATACTGTCTTCAAAGGACCTTATCCCCAAAATTTATAGAAAACTTCAACACCTCAACACCAAAAGGACAAACAACCCAATTCAAAAATGGACAAGGGACGTGAAAGACACTTCAGTAAAGAATATATACTAGCATCCAACAAACACATGAAGAAATGATCATGATCATTACCCATTTTTGTTGTTGTTGCTATGTGCCATGGAGTCAGACCCAACTCATAGCGACCCCTCCTTGGGTTTCTGAGGCAGTATCATTACGGAAGTAGATTGCCCCATCTTCCTTCGAGGAGTGGCTGGTGGGTTTGAACCACGAGCCTTCTGGTTACCAGTCAAGTCATTACCCATTAGAGAGATGCAAATAAAAACAACTGAGATATCATCTCACCCCAGCAATAATAGAAAAGATCAACAAGACAGAAAATAAAAAATGCTGGCGAGGTTGCAGAAAGATTGGAACTCTCATACACTGCTAGTGGGACTGCAAAATGATACAACCATTGTGGAAAATGATATGGAATTTCCTTAAAAAGCTGAAAATAGATATACTATTTGATCCAGCAATTCCATTACTAGGAATATACCCAAAGAGGTGAGAGACAGGACACGAACTGACATATGCACACCCATATTCTTTGCAGCAAAATTCAGTATAGCAAAGAGATGGAAACAACCTAAATGCCCATCAACAGATGAATGGATAACCAAACTATGGTACATTCACACAACAGAATACTATGCAACATTAAAGAATAGCGGAGTCGTGGTTCCTTTGGGAGCTCTGGTAGCATAGTGGCTAAGACACTTGCCTGCTAACCAGATGACTGGCGCTTCAAACCCACCAGCCACTCCTCGGAAGGAAGTTTGGGCAATCCTATTTCCATAGTGATACTGCCTCAGAAACCCAAGGAGGGGTGGCTATGAGTCAGGTATGACTTGATGGCACATAACAACAACAACAACAACACAAATTATCTCACAACATGGATGAATTTGGAAAACATTATGCTGAGTGAAAAAGTCAATCACAGAAGGACAAGTATTTTATGAGCCCATTATTGTAAAAAGTTAAGGAAAGGTTTACTTAGGGAAGGAAACTCATTTTGTAGATTACAGGGGATGGAAGGGAAAGGGAGGGAGAATTTTGGACTAGTTGGGGGTCACATGTGGACTTGAGTGAGGGGAGGGAGGGTATGGAAAGAGTCTGTGACCAGCATGATGACATTAGGGAAAGGAAGGACACTAAAACATGCACATAAGATAAAGTCAACAGAGGCCATTACTATTACATGTAAAATATTGCATTACCCCTAGCACCAAACACCAGGCTACATATAAATACATAGACAGGTGAGACGATCAGGTGGGCATAGGCAAACAGGAATATACCCTAGACCAAGGATAGATTTGACTGAAGATAATCTTACATATGCACTTGTGCTATAAAAGTAGGCACAAACATTATAGAAGCAACAGAAGACAGAGTTGGAGTAAGTTATCAGAAACAACCAAACACCTTGAGAGATAGAATCATTGGGCCTGCAGGCTCAGGACCATAGTCTCAGGGCACATCATGCTCAACTGGCACATCATAGTACATAAAAA